GACCGAGTATGCCTTTTGCGCCTACATAGGACCATCATCCGTTCTATCTTAGATTATAGGAGAGTTGCTTAAGTGTCGACTCTCCGGCCATTGAATGCCATACTCAATGGCGGTAACGGATCAGCACAGGCGCGTACCGCGCGAGTCGCTTTGAATGCCTCTTGGCCGAAGCTGGTGAACCATTCCTGGGCCGAAGGCGAAATATTGGAATCGGCTCTTACGGTTCGAAAGTATCCGCCATTAATTATAAATACTTCTCGCCAAGCAGTTCTTCACCCAAGTCACAGGACATCGTACGCACTTGGACCATCGTTTCCCCATCCTCCCGATATCCGTCTCTACACGCCTTTGCAGAAACTCGATATAAAAGTCTCCATCCCTGTAACCCTCCCTCCACCGATGTCTTGTTCCCCCCTTGGCAGCATCTCCGGCCTAAAATAGACTTGCGATTATCACACTTCCCCAAATCCTCAACTCTCCCCATTACATTTCTGGCGGAATTTCAGGAGTCGAAATCCATGTACCCGGATATAACTCCATATACACTGATCGTTCCTCCCAATATAGTAATGTAGGGTGTGCCTTCTACAGCCACAGTGCCACACTTAGAATGTAGTCATCGTGCAGCACTTGTATTGCAGAAAAATATGTTCTCATGGAAGCACTTAATCTCGCTGAATCGACGACATGAAAGGAAGCAGTGATCTACAGTGATTCAAAAATCTCTCTCGAATCTATCTCCTGCTTCTCTTCTTGTGACCTGACAATGATCATCCATCACCAAATCCATCATTCATTTGTGCGGCCAGTCCCGGAGGATAATGTGGGTATGGTGGATAGCTATGAACGACACGAAAAATTTCATAAACGTCAAATTCCAAAAATGAAAAAAGTTTCTCGAGTTTGTGTCAACACAAAACGAATATGCGATGAACAATGTTGCAAAATCAGTTGAACAGTATTACGATTTTACATATTTATAGCTTCAAAATCAATTTGAAAAAATTTCTAAGTGAGTTCATAAACAACTAGAGCTACAGAATGGCACAGACTTTCCCGTATTAGTTTTCTTTTTCCTTTGGTCTCGACTATCTATACCAACTTGTCACGTATTCATGTCAGCTGCCATCAATCGCCGCCCAAAGTATAATTTTTGGAAATTTTCTTAATTTTTTGGTTTCCTAATGGTAGAACGGAAATATTATTTGAAGAGTATTAAAGAATAGTAAAATCTCGTCCTAATTGGCAATTTCCTTTCAAAAATTTGAAGCAGTTTTTAAGAAAATGGGGATTAAGCGCTGATGTAAATTTCGAACGAGAATAAAGAATTCCATAAAGTCTTGGTCTTCCTCATCTCGTGGCTCCAAGCGCGAGGAGATCATTCTGACGCGCTTTGGGGTCGGTCACTTCCATTCTCTCCCGGACATCTCCGCAGTGAGCCACCCCCGACTCGTGACAGTTGCGTGACGGACCTTGGCGTGGAACAGCACTGCTCACTGAAGGCCCCTTCTCAAGTGCACTTAACGTAAATCTGCTGTTCATGGGTTCATCCACTTGGGAGCTTGAACATTCTTATAGTGGCGTCACAGGAACATCATATAAGCTCCATTGGATAAACCCACAACAGCTGATTTACGTCATGTGACTAAACAAGTCGTACTTTAGCTCTCTAGTAGAGGAACTGAATATGACGAATCTTCTCTCTGAGAGCGTTTCGAGTGACTGACATTTACAGCATTATCTGAGAGAAGAGGATTATGCCAATTATTTGACTTTTGGTTGGAGATTTTAAAGTGTTTATCTGTCTCTTTTCTGCTAAATTCATTTTTTTAAAATAATTTAATAAGTTTATTTTCAGTTTCTCTCACATTTTAATTTGCATTAAAAACTGTTTTCGTCAGGCACTGCTACAATGCGTACTGCTCTTAAAATAATTTGAGATGGGCACCCACCAAGATGGCTTCCCGTCTCAATAACATTCATTAACTAATAATCTTGTTTCGTTGCCTTTGTTTATGTCAAAAATGGTTCATTTCTGTAAATAATAAAAAATTAAACAATAAATACTAGCGTTAGGAAACACTTAACTAACATCCCCTCTGCAACGCAGTGTAACATGGCCTCAACACCTCCTCCCTTTTTACATTAAGTTTAATCTACAGTTGATCTCTAATCCTTTCTCTCGCTGTCTCTCTCTCACAAATATGCCTTGTAAAACTTTGTGATTGTGGAAATGAAGAAAATATAGAGGGCTGACAGAAATATGAAAAAACACTGAAATATATATCTTTAATGAAATATTTCAGAATACAAAATATGATTTTTCTACGCTTAAATATTAGATAACAAGTAATAACATTTGCCTATAAGAAAGCATGCAGTTGGGCATACAACTAACAATATATATAGACATTTCCAAGATGAAATATTTCACAGTGCAACTCTAAGTAGTTAAGAAGCAAAAATGGAAGGGCATTATCAACATGTTAAGAAGCAAATTCAATTCTATGATGTATAACAATTTACATTAAAAGAAACAACACAATTGGTCCCAGAATGTGCAAATTTTAATGTTTTTCTCAATTCTACATACATTAAAATATCTGCTGTAGTATATGAATTTTAACAAATTTGCAACTCTTTGCTTCACATTTCTAAATTACAAGACACTAATTTGAATAATATTAAGATAAAATCTGTTTTGTGATTACAGATATTTCACTTATATCAGTACAGTAGAGGGTATATAAAATACATTTATGAGGTTAAATAAAAAATACCATTGAAATTTTGAGTGACTTCAATAATGGCACTAAAACAGTATCATTCATACAATCAATGAAATTCATACATTCTGTTCCCTTAAACATTTTTAGTGCTGAATGTCTAAAGCTGAAAATGAATGTCAATTCTATCATTTGTTAATATACCAAAATATTTTCCTACAGGGCCACATACTATCAATAACGGAATTTTATTTTACTTTCATTTACAGTTATAATGAAATGCAAAATTGATACATATTCAAAAAGAACAAAATTGAAGAGACCCTCTATGAAATTAAATTAATGACACTGTTTTTGTACACAAAATATAAATGTCTGCAAAAAATCACATTTTTCAAAATCTTCTCCTTGGTTGTAAGAATGTTCTTTAAAATGAGCATTACAAATTCAAGATATTTTGAACAAGATATTACTCTTACTGCCAAAAAATTATAACAAAATATTGAAAAATGGCTAGCAAATTGATACTTGAATATTTATTCTCAACCAAACAATTATAAACAAAATTATTATTAAATGTTGAAAGGCAATTTCCCTCTTCGGGTGATAGAAGAAATTAAATGTAATATAAATAGCCCAGAGAACTTCCACAGTGAGCACATCAGATCAATATCTACTTTTTTCATTTTCTCGCATGAATGCGTATTAATTTTTATTCCAAAACTAATGAAATGTATGAGAATAATACTGTGTAAGGATCTGCACACAATGTTGCTATACATCTCTCACACAATCATATCAAGATAATTATTAACTCATGAAAAGTGGCAATCAATAGTTGAAAATCAGTTCTCTCCAACATTTTCACCTCACATTACCATTTAACATAGATTTTATTGTTTGTACTATTGTAAGTTAAATAGAACTGGTATAAATTCTTGATAGTAATTTTTAATGCGTCACAGAAGCGTTAACAGGTTTGCAAATGGGCTGCTTAAAGGGGGATAAAGTATCTGTTTAGTTTCTGTGTGGTTTTAAATATTGGTAGATGAAACCATTAAATATAGTCCTACAAATCAAGCCAGGATGTATTTTTAAACAAAACAAAAAAAAAAAAAAGGAGATACTTAAAGGATGTAATTTTAAAATACTTATAACTATAATTGTGAACTATGTGATGAAGCTAAATGAAATAAATTAAAAATAATTCCTTTCAATAAAATATAGGCTAACAACAAATTCTTTTAGAATTTTAACTGTTTTACATTCTTATAAACAATTTTCTTGGCAAGTGCAGCATTTAATAGAACACAAATCTATTTTAATTTTATATTTAATATTACACATCACACAATTAATTTTGTAATGAGAAAATAAATGTAAATAGTTGAATACATTACATATACTTAGAGATATGTAAAGAACGACAGGTCAAGTACTTTGAAAATCTGTACATTTTTAGATTATTCCAAATAAATATATTTTTAAATGATGTTAAATATGAAGAATGTAAAAGAGTCAAGCAAGGAAAAGCTTTGAAATGTACAGAAAATGTAATCTGTATTTACATGACAGCAAACATTTTTATTACAGTATAAAACAAAGGTATTTCCAAAATTTAACTTTAAAGAACAAAATAATTTCTTAAAAAGTATTTAATTTTTTAAGAATTCATTAAGATCTAAAGAAAAATATATTTTATTGTATATCACAAGATTATTTTCCGTGAATCTTCATATAAATCATCCTCTGGAAATAATTTAGTTATGAATCTATTTTCGTAATGAATCTATTTTCTAATCTATCAACAATAAAACTAACAATTTTTTTTACCCATTGTACTCCATTTATTGCACAATAAAAAAAAATTCTATACATACAAATCCTTTAAAAATAGTTTTTGAGACATTTGAACATTCAGACTTAAAATTTACTTCAATTGATCCCTTCAGCATTTTACCCTCAAATAACTTATGCCCAATATTATGCTCTAAATATTGTTATGCTCTTTCAAATTTCATTACTCCCTTTCACTTTTTGCAAATAACCAATTAGTAAATATTGAAGCAAAAAATAGAAGTAATAAAATGGCAAGCATCAATGTGCTTGAGATGTAATTACTCTGCGATCAGTGTTTCTGACTTTCACATTCAAAGAAAATTGATACACAATATTATAGAAATATATATTAAAATGCAAATGTGTTTTAGGAAATAAAATTGGCAGATATCAAAATATTTTCACAACAAAAATTTTGACTTTGTTCAGGAAATATTTTCAACAGAATTTTAATTTAAACAAAGCAACAGATATTAAGTCATTTAGTGGCATTGCAAATAACATCAAAAATTTATTTGTGAGTACTATTTTGAGCAGGTAGTACCAACAAGACAAAGGTTATGAAATGTATGTTTATTTTATTACATTTATGAAAATTTAAAACTTCTTAATGAAAAATAATTTGAAAATACTGATACAAAATACATAGATACATATATCTGTTAAAAACGCTAAGCTATACTACTAAATGCATAATTCTTCAATGCGAGATATGCAAGATATGAACATTTGCAATAAAATACATGCATACAAATTTCGTAAAATGTGCGAGTATTAACATTGAATATTTTATACCACAGTAAATGTATTATAGGACATTATTTGAAACATCTATTGCAGTAAATTGAAGATTTATGAATATTTAATAAATATACTGGTTCACATAAGCCATTATACAATACGAATTTCTTCTCAGAAAGCTGAGTATGTAAGTAAAGAAAACAGGATCCAGACAACTTGTCTGATGAAAAGGCACATATTCTTTTGCATATTAAGAACTAAGTTTTTATAATTGTTTTTAACATTTGAGCTTAAAATAATGCTCAAAGAAGTTGAGAGCTTTTACAAAACACTAAGCAGTTTTCGATATGTGAAGCTAAATAGAGAGATGACAAACTTGAAATTGCATATATAATATGTGAGATACATCATAAGAACTTCATCAACAACCACTAATCATGGACATGTAAGTGTTCTTGGTTAGTAGTCTCATTAATTCAGCAGGCACACTCCCATAGCAAAAATGATCTTGCTATTTTACTTCAAATGTAGTACTAATAAAATACTATCAACCATCTCTGTAACATAAAAAAGAAATGCAATGAATCGGAAGAAAGAAGAGAAAATAACATTTTAGCTTTCTGATCATGATTGCACAAGTCTAGTGGTTATTTGCCCCCTCTTCGTCAGGAAAGTATTATATTTTCATTTCATTATCCACATTTTATTTTTTATTAATCAATATCTATTATCAATTTTTGAATAATTCATATTATCACTGTTCCGTTATTTACTGAAATGTGAGGGCACTTCCTTGTCATTCCTGTATTCTTCAATGAAACACTAATCAAAACTGATATCTTTCCTATCACATGCAAATACAGTTTTCAGATACATACATACACTAGCTCTTTTATAAAATTTCAATTAAGAATATTTTTGAATGATATTTCAGCATGAATTATTACACAGACAAACTAAAAATCTTCTAGGTGTAATCACAGCAGAATTGAGGGCAAAAATCCTCACAAGTTCTAGAAATTATTTTAGAAGTGTTACAGGGAAACATGAAAGATCAGAGGCAAGAAAGGTTAAGCAAATAAAGGATACATTTTTGAAACAACATGTTGACTCATATGTCACAGTAGGCTCATAAGTCAAAATTCTGAATATTAAGTAATACAGTAAAACCCCTCTTTTACACTTTTCATTGGACCCTAGGGAAAATTTGAGTAAAATGCAGAAGTGTTATGGGATATAGATTTTTTCTTCGAAACTATGAGTACAGTGTATATGTATTTAGATACATAAATCAACAAGGATTATAATATACTTTAATATGCAGTATTAGATAATAAACAATATTCCATGGTTAAATAGAAATCTGATTAAAATGTACGACATCGGAAATAGAAGGCGAATTAACTGAAGCACAGTGAATTTTAAACGTCGCAATAACACTTCCTGAGACCCTGCCATGTACTGATCATAGCCTTCTACGATTCAACAATGCATTATTGTTGAATGAAGGGAGAAATGCGAAGTAAACATTTTTACAAACTCATAAAATGTTTGTTTTGGGCAGTTAGTAATAATTTTCAACTAGTATTTTATTTATTTATTTATTTACGAAATAATAGAAAGAGGTTTCATGAAACCTTTTTACAGTTAAAAACGTACAGAGAATCCTATACTTTGATGTTTGAACTATAAAAGAATGAAGGAAAAATACGTTTATTTTAGAATGAGAAATTGTGAAGGAAGAGGATGTAAAATAAACAAATCGGGAGGCTACCTCTCTTAGGCCTGTGTCACATGAGCGTTGCGTTGACGCGCGTCACCTAACGCCAATACCTGTGCACAAGTCATATAACGGTCGTAAATTAACACTATCTTATGTGAAGCGGTACAAGATCGCTCTTAGCGACGTATGTTCTGCTCACAGCTGAGGCAAGACTCTCAAGCCACAGCGTAAGACAGGATAAAGTGCGTTTTCTAGCTTTCAATGCGCGACGTCCACTAGATGACAAGCATTGGCAACAACGCACGTCGCCAAGGGCGTGTGTCGTCTCACATAAGATACAGTGTTACAGTCTACCAAGCGCTTCAAGTGACCAGTGTGCGGCAGCGAGCTGGCTTCATCAGCATTTGTGACGCGCGCCAACTCTACTCAACTCATCGCTCGTTTGGCACCGAACATATATTCTTCTGCCAATGAACATTGGGCATTTTTTTCTACATGTTTAAATACCTCTGCAATATTATGAAATAAAAATTTGTGCAGACCTACATGTTCAATAATGATTTTCACTATATTTAAATCTTCTAGACTTCGTGTAACATTTCTTAACCTTTATATCGCGCCATCTCAATAGTATTTCTGTTATAGCAATTTTTAACGCGGCGAGGTGGTGGGCAGTGCCAGTTTTGCGCAACGCGAAGTGCTTTCCAGTTGGTGTTACGGCAAGCAGCCTCTTGTAAATTGCGGGAAAATTGAAATTATACTATAGTAAATGCGGGAAACATACGAAAACTGATGGGACGGACAAGACATGTTGCAAATGCTGGGATAACGTTAAAGCGGAGATTTACTGTCTTATGAATGAAAGAAAAGTTTTAATGTGGGGTACTTGCCTCGATTGTGCTCCTCAAATACTGATTAGAAAGACAACAGATCTCGTAGATCTATAAGTAGAAACTATTTCCAGATATAGTGCTCGGGAGTCATTACGTTATATGCAATCACATATCTTGAAGTGCATAAAATACTTTGCAGAAAAATTAAATACTGAAAATAGAACAAGAATATTAAAAATTATTAGAAAACAATTTTTTCATTGCATTATAAAAACCACATTTCATCACAAATTAATTTGAAAAATCAATTCCTTGACTATTAAGATTTTAGTACCTACCACAAACAAGGTATTCATGAATCAAATGAGCTTTATGTTTCATTTTGATAAAAGAATAACATGAAGACAAAGGTTGATTTTAAGTTAATTAACATTTCCACAATTAATGAAATTTATAAATAACCAATGTTCAAACATATAATTGTTCTTGATGATTTTACATTTTTTAAAGAAAACAAATGTCAACATTTGCCACTGTAATTGAATACAACAAATAGCCGAGTTTCAGTACCAAATTTGATGATTTTTACCAAATTACACTCAAATGTTTATCTTCTAGAGATTATATTTTTTTGCCCACACCAAAACAGTAAATGTGGTAAAACAGTTAATGTAGATTTCTTTTGAAACTCATCAATTCAAATAATCTTTTTGCTTCAAAAACACTTGGTAACTTAGGCTCAATTTAACTATTCCAGGTAAAACACTCAGAACTTAAAAAATATCTAGAGGCCAGGTTAACAACAAAAGGAAGAATTAATCCTTAAGAATTAAATGAATCCTACCCTATTTCCACCAAACAAGAAAAGCCAACCCTAAAGTGAGCAAGGGGCTTGCAATTGCATAATATGAACCACCACGCTTTGGTTCTATCCATGGTTCATCATCCAGGCACTCAAATTCACAACAGCGTTTTCCAGCCCGAAACCGCTGACAGAACTGCCAAAATCAAATACATCCATTACACACAAAAGTAAATGTTAGCCATTTGCACTATTCAGATATATGTGAATACAGCCCATAAAAAAACATAAGTATTGTACTTATGTGGAGAATATGTGTATATATATCTACATATTAATAAATATATAGTCTGATGCTCGTTACATTTCTTACAAAAAACAAATATAAAATTGCGGTTACTCCAAAATTTAAAGTTTCAAATATGTTATTTAATGATTATTAATAAGAGGGGATACACAGAAAAATATTAATTTTTGTAAGGAAAAGTGCAACAGTGGTCTTAATAAAATACATTTAAAAGTATTAGTTTCATTGTATTTAAAGCATGTTTGGCTGAAGATGAATGGTTTTCCAGCCACAAACATCAAATCTTTTTCAAGAACCATGTTAAAAACCAATTACTATACACATTATCACATTTTTTGATATGTGGTTAAAATTCAGTGTATTTTTTCATAGTTTCACTGCAACCAATCCTTAAAAATATATTAGATATACACACTAAAGTGCAAAAGAGTTTTTTATGATTCTGAGTTGATTAGAAAGTTAGGGAGGGAGGTCATATGTCCTGTTCTTTCTCACATGTATACCATGGATTTTAAAGCTAGCACAAGATTTATTTTGCAGATGCATATAATTTTTTTTTTAAATACAATTTTTGTTTATTAGATATCAATCAAATCCATGAACAGCATCCTTGCAACTTGCAGGTGCAGATTTTTCTTTCAGGTGTTGCCAAATATAGTTACAACTAAAAAGGAGAGAGAACACTTGCTGATTTAGTTAATGAAATTTTCATATGCAATTGGTTCATATTCTGTTTTCTTTATCACAGATTTTTCAATTTAAATATTAAGGTCACATGAATAGCCAACAGTCAAAATTAATTGTCATATATATATATAAAAAAAAAAAAAATTCTCCCACCAATGCTATTCAATGGTATTATTTCCTGGGGCTTGATTCTTCTACAAGATGATTCTGGTAAACTATTTTCATCTTTTGCTACAAAATGTGTTTTATGATCCTAATGAATATTTTGACTTAGTGTGATAGATACTTCCATTTTTTGTCATCATAAAGCAAATAATGCAAATGGACTTGGATTGCAGTTCACCATCTCTCTGATTAAAGATATATTAACACTAGTATGTACAATTATCAATGTACCTACATATATGAAAATACATAGGGCTTACTTACTGACAATAAAAATATTTGAGTCAAGTTACATTATTACCAACAACAATTCAGAATTAAAGCAACAGAAACAAAACAATTTCACTACCAACATTGAACTACAAGCACATAAAACATCTGCTGAAGGATTTGAAAAGGTTTGTAAATATATCTTCTTTCTGTGTACATTCAACATGCTTTATGTAATACAATTGCAACCAAAAGCAACACTGAGTCTATTTCTTTAAGACCATTGTCATAAATATGCTCAAAAACTAATGCTCAATTTCAGTTCGCTACACCTATTTTCTCTTTACTATCATCAAGATCTTACTGTTTTACAGCTGCTGAAGTTATTTCTCTGTTTTAAAAGATATACATTATAAAATTAGTGCTTTTAAAGGAATTTATTCAAATGTGAAGTCTTGATTAAAAAGGCAAACATAAATGGAAAGAGTGCTTAAGAATTCTACGCATCTAGAAACATGAATGAAATATTATTCATGAATACTATCTGGAAAAAAAATTGTTGAAATATCCCAATAATTTAATACTAAACAACTGGATTCTTTTATTTGAGTGAGTAATATAAAAGCAATAAATGTTACCTAGGTAGTAAAAGTTTGTATAATTTTTCATAGATCAGCACCTGTTCTGGGTACAAGCTAGTCTAAGCAGTTAAATGGTATTACTTCTATTCGAATAGAATTAAGAATAAATGTATTACAAATGCTAATTTAGCAAGTACCAAGACATAATTCACACTAAACTAATTCATTTAGTATTAATGATATTACAGAGACTATGAGTTCATAGAAAACCTTTTTCTGAGTCAACTTGAGCTACAAAGCCTTACTAAGTGATCTGTATTTAAATATGCTTCTTCTTTAAAACAATAAAGAGTGATTTACTCCTGTAAACATAAGAAATATTGCAGAAAGTTATTATAAAATTCTACTATGATGAACTAAGCTTTGTTTTTTTTTTTCACACAAACTAAAACGGTAATTTTGATATTCATTTCTTACAAGTGATTATTAATATTTTTTTGTATATCACTCTTTATTTCTCAAAATTTGTTATAACGAGTTAGTGCAGCTCACATAAGGTGGATCACAGTAGATAGCCCTGCACCACATTGGTTCGCTATGGTAACAGACACACAATGAACAAGCGCTGGGACCTGGCACGTAATAGAGACCATGACTAACTGTACGGCCCTCAAAGTCAGTGCAGTCCTCTTCTAGAGCATCTGATAACACAAACATGTAACAATCAATAACATCAATAACACAAGCAACTCCAATGATAATTAGGTAAAAATTAAGATAATTAGAATAACAATGCAATTAACTGCAACTGAGGACATAATACAGTCAGAATAAGAAGAATAAAAATTACATCCATGAAGCATGCCATGTACTCTTATTTCAGTTGTGAACAAAAAACAACTATTTTCTTTTGAAGAATCTCCTCTCATTTACGTTTTTTTAAATTTCCCATGCACATTTCTTCTGGAAATAAGAAAACTCTTTTTCCCTTATTTAATATTTTTTATTTGAATTCACATAACAAAAAGTGAAAATAAAAAAATTAAGTTTTGTTATTTTGCTTTTTCAAAAACAGAAAAGGAAATATAATTCATTTACCATACGAACAAATCTCAATAATTTTCAGAGAATAGGAGAGCGCAACAGAGAGTGAGGATTTAAGATGGAAACAGTGTACTAAGAACTCCCACACTCAAACTGAAGGCAATGATGTCATAACAAATAACTCTTAATATTAAATTGTAAAGAATAATGTTCATAAAAAGTTGCAAAAACACTGAAGAAAACTACAGGATAAAGAAAACAAAACATTCTTTCCAAGCAGAGGAATACATTATAATTTTGTTTCCCTAATGTGTGTCTGGATTTTTTTTAATTTTCCCATTAAGCAAAACTAAATTAAACAACTATTCATAATAGCATGCTTTTAAAGCAACAAACATTTTGCAGAATTTAATACGTATAAGAAATATCTGGATATAAATGTCAGTTAAAATTCGAACAAAATATTCGGGATACGACCATGATAGTAACAACAAAACATTCGTGAATTACAAGCGGGTGGAAGCGCAATAGATATTTCACAGATGTACTTACCGAGAAAACCAAATAAAAAGGATAAATTTAAAAGAAAAAATTTCCAACGCGGCATCATGAAAATATTCAAATTAGTACCGGATTTATATCATATTCTATCGCGGTGACATTTGACACATATTCCACCCGATCGATGCGATTCGAAACAGCTCCAGCTCGTCGCGAAACGTTTCTCGGATGGGGCTCGGTTATACTATACCACCACCTGCAACAAATTGTCTAGTCCATGAAGTCTTGTGGGTTTTTTAATCGAACTTAATAGGTCTTAACAAGCTGGATGTCCTCTTCCGTCGCAACTGCGACACCACCCGATGTTATGATTACATGCTGCGCGCGCATTATTTCAGCCAATGGGGTTTCCACTAGTGAAACCGGCGGGCTACAATCCATGCGGAGTGGTCGCGTGCCGTCCCTTTAAAGAGGGGTGTCCAATTTGAGTTGTGTTTTGCGTACTCTCTGGGGTGTCCAATTTGCGTTGTGTAGTCAGAGAAATTGAAATACAGTAGGTTACACCATGGTATATTTTCTTCCATGATTACACCAGCGCTCTCTAGAAAAACAAAACCATGGGTTTTCTATAATTTTATTCAATTGAGATACTTTTGCTCTTAATATAATGGAATATTTTTTGTAATTTTTACCCAGAATATATGACTTAGAACTAATTAAAATATTTATGTACAAAAATATTTACCTTCTTGCTACTTGATTTGGAAGGTAGTTCTATTGATACGTTAACTTCCGGCATTGTTCCCGCGCGAGTGGTGCAAGTTAATTTGTCAAAGTGGAGAACAATAATTTTATTTCTATACAGAGAAAGTCTGAAATAAATGGTGATTTAGAAGGTCAGAGCTCGGGAAGCGTACACACCATAAACAGTGGACGTTCTATTGACGTGTTCCAAGGTATAAATGTCTAAGGGAAATTATTTAAGGAGTGGTGCTATTGTCAAACTCCGATTGCTTTTAAAAGCGTGAAGTTATTTGTAACTTTTGAAGGAGTCTTAATTTTTCAGCTAGAGATATAACACGTCAGTGCTTCTTGGAATACAGTTAGAGTTGAAGTTCTGCAGAAAAATTGCTTTTTCTGTTAATGGTCTCATTGTCGTAATAACAATGATAAGTGGCAGTAATGATGGCAAGTATTTTCTCTCCTTTTGCCCCCTTTATACTGTTATTAAATATGCTTTCTAATATTGTTTTTTTGTATTAGGAAAAGAAGCAGAAAAGGATGTGATTACTCCCCCAAGAAAGAAATTAAAACAAGGTTGGTTGAATTCAAACCTTTTAAAACATTTAAGTCAGTATCACTTAGTTTCGCAAATTATTTTTAAAAAAATTTATTAAGAAATAACAATTGTTAATTTTGAAATCATTTTCTTTCTCTTTTAGCTCGACTTTCCTTTCAAAAGCTTAGTCCCAGTGTTGACACATCACCAAAGAATGTTAAGAAGCGAAAAATTAGTGAGGATTCTGGAGATGAAATTAAAGTCGTAAAATTAGTAAAGCCAAATAGTGAAAAAAGTCTGCCGCTGACTCAGGAAAAAAATCATGACTCGGAGGCTTCAAATTGTAAAAAAAGTGAAAAAAAATGCCCTTCAGAATGTGAAATAGAAGTGGTTGATTTAGATAGTGAAGTCGATAGGAATGAACAAGAAGGCAGTCAAGGGAATGTTAAATTGGACACTACAGACAAGGATATTGAAAAAGGATCTACAGATGATAAATCTGAGGACGAAAAAAAGAGTAATACAGATATTAAAAATGCAGGATGTGAGAATGAAAATGAAAAACCTAAAATAACTTCAAAAGATTGTTCCCCTAAAACAACTACCAATGAGAAACCTATTTTAAATAATGAAATAGAACTCGATAATGATAGTGACAGTTCTGAGTCGGAATCTGATGAAAGTTCTGAGGGAGACAATGAGCTAAATGAAACAATTGAAGATCATAACTCAAGTGATTCATGTAGTGAAGTAACGAAGGCAGATGATCTGTGCCAGAATACTTCAAGAAATAATATTGAAACTGAATCAAAAGTTCCTCTTACACCTAAAAATAGTATTCGTAGATCAGACATAATTAAGAAAAAGAAACTTACACCAAAGCAGCTTTTACAGCGAGAAGAGGCAGCAAAAAAGAAAGAAGAGAAAGAGAAACAAAGAAAGGTAATTGGCCATTCTGTATTAGAAAGTATGAGTGCTGGCAAAAATTTTCTCTTGGGATTCAGTGTTGTGGAATCTAACTCCTTATTTCACCAGGGATTGGTCATGTAAAAGTGTCAATTGATTTGTCATGCTTAGAGGAAACAAATGAGCTATTCATCCTCTTTATAGGTGCCTTTAAACCTCCCAAATCACATGTTCTGTGCTTAAAACATCCCAAAAACTGTTTTTGAGAATCTTCATATAATGTTCTAGATCACGAAAAAGAGGTATGTTCTTCATTAGTAGACGACGTGAATGACATCTCAGCTGCCCTATAGTGGACCAGATAAGCCCTATCCATGAGTAACAGACCTATCCACAAATAATGCATGTTACCCAATCGCCTTATACATGATTCAGTCAATTTCATTTTGACCATTAGTTACGAGAAATGATGATTATGATGGTGATTGGTAAGTGTGATAAAATGATTGATGCAGAAGGTAATCTGAAATGAGTCTGTTCATTCAACACTAGTGGAATTCAAGTGTGAAATTGTTCTCTCTTTAAAAACAATGATTGATGTAGTGCAGAATATTCACATGGTTGCGGCTATGGTGATATATTATAAGTAGTCTTATGAAACTTATTATTGTTTTTATTGAACCGTTTTTGTGTAAAATGATTGTTACTACAGAATTTAATTGCAAAACAAGCCTGTGCCAAAATCAAAAAAAGAACCTTTTATTATGAATGTTATTTTACTTTATTGTTGTGTTACAGGAGAAAGAAAGAAGGAAAGCTGAAGCAAAAGAAAAGAAGCGGAAAGAAAAAAAGGAGAAAGAAGAACTGAAGAGAAAAGAGAAGGAAGAAAAAGAAGAACAAAGGCGGAAAGAGAAAGAAGAGAAAGAGAAGAAAAAACTGGCAGAATTAGAGTAAGTGATAGCCTTTTTGCCTTTTACAGGCTGCCAGAACTTTATTCAAATTTATTTACATGTTCGTGTTTCTTTGCTTTCATTTGCTATCCATTATAATTTGTGTTATTTATGTTGCACAAATAATTTTATTCTTCTCATAAGCAACCAGCTCTCGTGCAGCACATTCCAGAAACAAGCAGCACACAAACACCTGCAGCACATGAACACACTCAAGCTGCAAATGCACACACGCTTCACTCTCTCAGACACACACTCACACACTTATCACTCACACAGACATTCTCACGCTCATTCTCACACATGCATCTTTTGCACACACATCACACATGCATCACTGGTACATGCACACACATAGCTCACACACAGTCCCATTGGGCACTTGCACACAAATTCAAGCAGTGCATACACATGTGCACTTAGCTCATGCTCCAACAGTCTCGAGAAACACAAAGCATCAGCACATTCACACAGACAAATTTACACAGAGCACACACTTTGAGCACACCCACAACACTCCCCCATGAAGTGTGCAACACACGCTCAATGCGCAACCCGCACACAGCCGTTTATGCGGGAGATATACCTACCAACACACACACACAAATTCATTCATTCAACCAGCACTAGGAATGACAAAAAAATTCGTTTTGTTTTTAAAACATCAGTATTTTCAACCAGAAGCATTGACGTATGTACAGCGATGTTTGGTTTCCATTGTTTTCTTTAGATTGATATATTTTTCCCAAAGGTTGATATTTTTGAAAACAATTTTCCCATGCTATAAATATAATTACTTGCATCTAATTTTTATTTGTAAATTGCTCAAAATCAAAAGCCATTAACATGTGTCACTGTTATCTATCCCACAACGGCAGGAAACTGTTCACTATTCGCAATGTTACTCCAGTACATTTACGCAGTAAAAAAAGCAGTTTTCATGGAACACTGTTCATCAATTTTTTATCATCAGGTTTTTTTGTATTTTTTTACTCAATGTCATACCACTATATTTTTGTCTGTGAAAAAAATTATATTAAAGGTAATATTTTAAAGTATTTTCGACAAAACATTACTGCGCAATGAGTGGCACTATTTGCTACTGTGTGGACGTTCGAGATATCTTGACAAGTCTCAGATGGAACACAACATTGAAGCATGGCAATTGTTTGTTGACTCAACTAAAATAAGTTTGAAAGCACTATTATTACCAAATGGAAACAAATCACACTACTTATTGAAATAATATGTTATCACAAGTATAAACAGTGTGTCTGTGGTTATTTAAAAATCAACACCTTTCTCATGGGAACATCTGACAGGGTACATGAAGTACTGATGTTTTGTCTGCGAGTGAACAGTAGAAATAGAAAGCACTTCTACATAAAGAAAAAATGATTTATCAATCAAAATAAGAATGCACCAAGGAAATAAAAATACCTTCGTGTGTCAATGATTGGCCCTGACAACGTAATCATGTCACCGCTTCACATTAAGCTGGTGAAATATTTCATGAAGACACCTGACAATGACTCGGATGCTTTTCTGTACCCGTGCACCAAGTTTCCAGAGTTGAGATAAGTGAAGAAAGGTGTGTTCATAGGTCCATAAATAAATAAAGTAATTGCTGGCAGTCATTTCCAAGACTTACTGAATGATACTGAAAAAAGTGCATCAGAGCCTATAAAAAGCTGGGTGTCAACATGACCCTCAAAAATTCATCTCAACTCACATTTTGACTTCTTCCCCAAGAACCTAGGTTTGGGCAGTGACAAACATGGTGTTCGTTCAGAAATTTTGGTGATGTAGTAACATATCGGTGTCAATGATTTGCAGCAAGCTTGGCTGACGACTCCTAGAAACTTCAGTGTGACATGCCAAATGCTCAGCACGAACACAAATCTACAGCCAAGAAATTCAAACCAAATACACCTGAGATTATGTATTTTCAGTGTGTATGGATTTTATGTGTATAATACCTTGAAATATATATGACTGTAGTATGCATGACATGTGAGTAAATTTTTGGTATTTTCTTAGCTAATTCCACTTTCATTAGTAGTCCATATAACAACATTTTTTCTAGTGAAATATAGATAATTGAAGTGTATGTCTAAAAAACAGTGGGTGATAGAGACAAATGGTTTGCATATTTTGAATCACATTTCACTTATCTTAAAACAAGTTTTGTATATCAAGATACCTCAAATTTTTAAAATTTAATTTTCAGTGTAACATAGACAAGCGGGTATACTGCTTCAATTATAATGAAAATTGGGATAACATGGTTTGGGAAGTTAGCCCGGTTGACAACAATAGAGATGAAAAACTGTTTGATGGCGAAACACGTCGGTTCTGTCCATGCGCCTGTGAATAATGCTAGCGACTAAACCAAGGCAGGGTTTTCACCAAAATTGATATTCTTGGATCAACCTGGCTTGAGGCGGCCTCTAATTTGAAATGGTTATTTTAATTTTGGGGGTACTTGAAATAAAGTGTCAACTTTTTCTAAACTTTCTCAAAAACAGTTCCTAATTTTTTCTTGAAACTTTTTATGCAGAGGGCAAAATGCTCTGAACAAAACATTGAGTATTCTTTTAATTTTTCAAAACTTACACAAATGTAAATTTTTGAAATATCTCTCACGCTGAACTGACTTTATGACTGAAGAACACATGTATGCATGCATACACACACACACACACACACACACACACACTTGTTTTCTTTGCTTTGCAATTTCATACCAAAAATAAATTAAAAACAAATTAGTTGTCAGCTTGACAAGTGGTGTCAGTTGATGTAAGTAATTGGAGAGGTGCTTGAAGGCAGTTGGATATTCTGAGAAACCCTTTTCATTGTTTAACTTATCTTAATATTACAAATTGTAGAAGATTACATTTAATTTGTTTATTAGTATTAGTTATTTATCAACAGCGTTTTGAGATAATCTTTTCACACAGCTTTCCTATTCAGGCTGTTTGAGATGCTATTTCAACAATTTCATTGTTAGGCGGTAACATGGATGAGATGGCGATAGGGTATGTAGATTTTATTTACTGAATGGTAATGTTAAAATGCCACTATTCAATAAAATGGTACATTCAACTTAATTAATGCTAAGAAGAATATATTTACAAGAAATAAAGGTTTGTTGTTGTTGTTTTTTGCATATGTTATAATATATTATAATGACATTAGGTTCGAACTATATTAGCACTCATAAGGCAATATATGATGTCCTTCAGTTCTGAATGTTTACTTTATAAGTGAAGTTATTTATGTATGTATATAAAATATGCTGTAAGTATTGTAAGATTAAGAAAAGTCTGTTGTTCCTAACTAGTGAAATAATAGCAGGTATCCGCTGAAGGCGCTTTGTTGGAATTGGTTTTGCCCAAAGTGTGATGGCAGAAATTGCAAATATTATGTAACTGTTCCGAATAAAGTATGTGCTATTGTAGTTCCTCTAGTTATATTTAGGATTTTAACATAGCTTCTGAATCCACAGAAGGACAAAACACAACTGTGCCTTCGTGTTGTTCAGGCATGCAGGTTTATATCCAACTTGATCAGTGATCAGTGTGATCATGATCAGTGTCAGGAGAAAAAAGGAAAATAATGTAAAAGGCAGAAAAAGCAAAAATTGGCCCATAACCTTAAATTGCTTCTGATGCCCCAAAAAGAAAGAAAAAGAAAAGAAAAGGGAAAAAAACAACAAAAAACAAACAAACAAACTAATAAAACATTCTCAAAAGTACAATTAAGTGATTCCTATTTTTAAAAGATATAAAATAGTAATATAACAAAAAGACATTTTGTCAAACTTCTGGGCTCCAATAACATATTTAACATAGAATCAAGAAATACATTTCTTTCATTTAAGGAGTTTTGATCACTGATTACTATATTCAGAAATTGTGAGCTCACTTCAATGTAATCAAGGCAAGTTATGTGAAATTAGTCTTTCTTTTCTGTATAATGTGCTGCAAATACTAGAAGAGCTCAATTTATTCATTGTTGTTTCAATAGTAAAAGTAAGAAGTAGCTACCATGCAGGTTTAAAATTTCAGCAGATACACACTATAGGCACTTCGTTTGAATCGATTGAATTGAACTCTGTTACTGCTTACTCCGTTACTGCTTACGCAGTATAGATAACATATTGTAATTCTGCGAGAAAAAAAACTTGAATTTTCAACTGAAAATTTCTTATTGTGGGTGTATTGAAAATGAAGAAGTGGATAAATCTTGCCCCTGTATATAGCAAATTACTTTCTGTAATGCTTTGTGTTGTCAGGATCCAGGTTTTGTGGATCCTTGATATTGAAATATCTATTCTTCTTTACACTGCATGGGTTACAACCCCACACATTTGTCTTTATGCCCACGGCAGGGGGTATAAATCTCCAGGGAGGGCACCTTTGGCTTTTCGCTTTTATCTGCACTTTCCACCGACGCACAAGAATGTATACATGCTGATATCTGGGTCCCGCGGAACCCAGTTTGCAGTCACGGCAACCTCCCCTACAGTATCCTAGTTTGGCCGCCCTGCCATCTCAGAGCTCCTAGCTTTTCAGGCTAGTACTGTATTTCAAACACTGTGCTACTCACATGCACTGGGAACAAGTCCCTCCTCTTTGCCCAGAGTATGCCCAGACTGCCATGACAAAGCCGAGAACCTATTAGAGGGCAACATGAACTAAGTCCTCCTTCCCGTCTCCTCACTGCCTCCACCTGAACGCTATCAACGTAAGTGTTGCGAGGACTTACGCAACAGCTTAAGAAGACATTTGAAATTTTCGAAAATTTAGAGTTAACAGTGAACTAGTGCCGCTGAAACAGCATATACTTTCTCGCCTAGTAATGATTAAGTAATACAATTCCTAATATTCTATTTGTATGGCAATTTTGTGCGACTTAACACATCTCAGTCATCTTTTCTAAAATTCATTACAAATTGTAGAACATTAGGTGAAAAAAGTAAATATTTTTAAGCAAATATAAACCCAAATTCAACAATTGAAACTGCATTTCATGCAGCGAACTCATGACCCAACAATGAGAATTCACAGCAAGAAAATATCTGCTGTCTCGAGAGGCAGTACGCCATTGTCGCATTCCAATCTGAAATTTCCTGAAGGCCAGCAGATGGAGCGTAGGAAATTAGAATTATGCTCATTAAAAAATGTGCATGACTTGATTTAAATAATTTTTTAGAATAAATTTCATTTAACAAAAAACTATAATTGAAATTGTGCAGTTGCAATATTAATTTTTTGTGTTTTTGTCATTTTTCCCCAACCTAGTTGGGCTATTCTAATTAATTCTAATTATTTTGAAACTATGTGATGCGATGACATTAAATATTGGCACCCCCTGAAATGAAGTCTAGGAAATTCAAATTTACCATTTTGTTGATTTTTCTTTCTTACTCTTGAAAATACAGAGAGTGCAAAAAACGGAACCAGCACTACTTTCTTTAACATTCTTTGCTACGTATGAATTTTTGAAAATTACATGATGGAAATATTGGTTTGAGGCAATTAAATGTTTAGGCATTGATCCACATTAGTACGTCAGAGCAAGCTGCTTGGTACAAGAGGGAATGGCGCATAGTGAGTTAACACTGATGACATCAGTTTAAGACTTGATACGGAAAAAAAAAATGTTTGCTGGTTGAAAATACTTTTTCAGGTTGATGTAGTAGTGTGGTGTAGTGGAAGAGTTTCAAATGTGAAAAAGTATAATTGTTGTAGCTTTACTAGTTTTTTATTCTTGTGTACTTTGTTTACTAAGTGTGTTACAAGAGATGGCTGAAGTATTCATGGGATTGGAGATGCAATATTAAAAGCTTACATTACTTCTACTGACAAGAAAGTATATGTTGTTGTACCTCCACCTAAATTAGTTTATAGAGAAATAATATAACTAAGAATGTTAATATGGCATACTAATTTATGAAAAAGTTACGATATATTGCCCAATTAGAAATCAAGATGGGAACTAAACTTTCCAAAGTATTATTCTGCTTATAATTTTATTGATTAAAATGGTATGGAATTTCAAGAAAATACAATGTATTTGTAACTGACATAATATCTTTTACCAACGTTCTTAATATGATCCTACATAAATTGAGACGTTTGTTTCTTTGTTCTGATATTTCATTTGAATGAATTTGAATTGTTCAAACAAATTATGTTTTCAGGCAAAAATCTGAAGAAAAACGATTAAAGGAAGAAGAAAGACGTAAAAAGGAGGAGCAGCGTGTACTTGAAAAGCGAAAGAAAGATGAAAAAAAGTTTGCTGAAGAGGAGGCGAAGCGGAAAGAGGAAGAAGTTAAGAAGAAGGAAGCTGCAGCCTTTGCAAATTTTTTTGTTGCTCCCAAAGGTGCTTCAAAAATAACTGAAGAAGTGAAAGTAAATAATGCTGAAAATTTCATGCCCTTCCAGGTATGACAATATTTTAGGGCAATCTTTTATATGACTTATGACTTTTGTGTGTGTGTGTATATATATATTTGTATTTTATAAGTCTGCATATGACTGACATTTGTGAATGACGATCATGTTTTTTGTAAAGTGAGGAAAATACATTAGCCATAGATGTCTCATGCCAAGAAATACTTGACTGACAGTTCCATTCTGGAATATAGGGCAGCTGGTTTGTAGTGTAAAGAACCAACATCTTTGGTTCATTTTGGCAAACAATTTTTAACTGTAATCTTAGAAAGTGGTTCAATTGAATTAAGTACTAAGTCAGTAGTTGTTATTCCGTTAATTTATAATATTTCTATAATGAACCGTCTATCAATGACGTTAAAGAATTAGAGATGTGTGCAATTTTATCCTTTTTTCCTTTCAGTTTCCTTTCCTTTCACTGTAGCCTGCCTTTGTTTTTAGTAACACGTGGCTGTGAGTTCATTTTAGTGCTGTGATGCGCTCTTGTCTTTAGTACAACATGATTGTGTTGAAAGGCTGTTGTGAGGTTTGAAAGTTGCTATTGATACTACTTAATATTAATCCTTCCCCAAATGGGAATTGTGAACATTTTTAATGTTGTTACTATGTTGCTATTGTCGAGAATTATACTATATCACCATCGTATATTGAAATATCTAAATCTTTGAAAGTCCATTGCAGACAATAGAGGTCTCTTAGAATTTTGACAAAGGATGTGAATTATCATGGAACGAGTAGATTACCATAATTTTGAACTGTGTGATTGAATTATGTTTGTTTGGTTCTTAAGCCCATATTTTCCGTGGTTTGGCATGTTTTTTTCTTATCAAGTTTCTTATCTGTTCTTATCAACTTGTAAATTATGGGAAAGTATTACATTTTAAAAATGTGTAAAAGACATGAAAAAGTTAAATGTGGGAATGTAAAAACTGGGTTTTACTGTATTTGTTTATTCATAAATTTTGTGTGAACATACCTGATGTACTAACTGGTAGGAAAGGGATTCTTTCTGGAAAGGCCCAAGAAGTCTGTTTACTTACCGTATTAAGAAGAAAGCTTGTGATTTTGGGGAAGTTTTCTTCCAAAAATGTGGGATGACTGCCACTACATTTTAGTTACCTCAATCTACGTGGGTTTTTTACTAGAATGAAAGCATTTACTAGCTTTGTAAAAGACTTACAAAAAACTTACTTAAAGTACATGAATGTACATTTTCATTGCCTTTGAGCTATTGATAACAATTTTAAATGGTGCAAAATTATCGGCCAGAAAACATTCACAGTTTTATATTTTTTGTCCTTTTTTAAATTGCAGGTGAAAGCTGATATGCGTTTGGCTCCATTATGCCGGTCAAATTTTGATGGAACTCGCATGGAATCTTTTGATACACTTTTTAAAGAACAGTCTGCCAAAGAGTTATATTTTGATCACTTAAGGAAAAACTCATATGTTCGAGGAAAATGTGGGAAAACATGGCCTCTATCAGATTTAAGAGATGTGATCATTATAGGTAAATTCTATTTATTTTTAAAATATTATGTTAAAAGTTGATTGCACCTTTGGTAGAAGACATTCAAAATTCAATGATTTTTTTTTAAAGGTCATAAACTGCCATGTGTGACTTGATATTGTGATTTGTGACTTGATGTACATGCTGCGATTACTTGTGTGAAAGCACTTAGATGCGATGCTTTTCCTGAATGTACAACTAATTTTTTTTATGCAATTTCGAATTTATTTTTATTAAATTGCTGCAATCTTCTATTAGGATGTAATGTTTTCTTGTTTGTATTTTAACCAAACCTGTATTTTATGATATCTAATAAAGTACTTGAAATAGCTGGCGGAATGGATTTTAGGTAAGATTTTAGGTAGTTATTTAATTCCATATATCATTTATTTCAATACCATTGCTTCTATAAAAAAAATTGAGAGGTTAGAATTTATGTTATTACACAACTTCTGAGAAATTTACTGTGGGAATATTTGCATTTGATAAATCAGGAAGAGCTTTTATGACATTGCAAGTACAAACTGTTTTCATGAAAGAAAAGTGGATTATGAAAGTAAATTTTTAACTTGATTTTGAAATACCTTTACAACTCTGAAATAATCAAAAGCCGAAATAATAGGTAGTGGACAAGCAAGTTTAGAGTATTACCTAGGAAGTAGGAAAGGGTTGGCTTCAAAGTCTGACAAATGTGTTATCAGAACATTTATTTGTAAAATAAATGCAATTTTCTTGAATAATATTGCATTTCAACTGCATTACTTTGTAATTGTTTAATAATGTTACAATTTTTTTCCATGCTTCTCTAAGATGGCACCAGCATGTGGTATGTTGCCTTCAGGCGTAATAGAAATGATTTTTACTGTACCAAAGCAGAGGTGTCGTGTGTGGTATGTTGTTTGTGTGTGGGTGTTGGTTTCTTTTGTGTGAGTTTTAGGTAGATAAGTAATACACAGGTGCAACAGCTAAATTGTTTCCTGATAACTCTGACTACTGTGATCAGTTCTAATCCTTGAGCAAATTCAATATACATTGGTAAATTTATCTATTGTACAGTTGCAAATGTGTAGTAGCTGAGTCAACAGAAGAATTGGGAGCTTAATCAAAGAATTGTAATTAATAAAATCCATCACTTGTTGGATGATTGGAATAAAAAAATCTTCAGTTGTGCAAAATCAACAATTTATTGAATTAGGTGAGAAGTTTAATTAAATTTTGGTTTCTGGGCAGTCAAAGAAAGTATGTATTCCTCAGAGAGAGAGAAAAATGCCCTTGAAAGTTATTAAGAAACAAGGCTCAAATTGATTACAAAAGATCTTGGAAAATCACATTGGCTCCAACTTTGAAAGTGAGTTAGAAAAAAGATTTCAGAAGAGATTTATGAAAAAGTATTATTGAGAATGTTGAAGCTGTTTGAAGAAGTCATCCTCAGGAAGACCAATACCTGTTTTAGCAAAATGATGCTCCTATTCACACTAGTCATTTATGCTAGTGCAAAACTAGTTCTGTCAAAATGGAGATCCTTTATATGAATATTTTCATCCCTGAGCAGCTCCATTCTAAAACTGACACTTATGTTTGTTTAGAACAAAGTTAAGAGAGCCAATAACTACTGTAACATGCCAACATAACAACCCTCAAAACAGCCTCAATTAAGCATGCATTTCAGGAAATGGATAGGGAGCAAACCGAGAAGAAATGTTTTAAATTCAGACCCAGAATTGAGTTATTTTTTTATTAAATATACGTTTTTTGTAAATTTCACTTCTTTTTAAATAAGCAAGAAGTAGATCTTACTATTGTCCTACTACTGCCACATCCTGTAATTCTTAACAGATATTTTACTTAATAAATTAGTTCATATAATTTGGTGAAAATGCATGCACATATTTGAGTGGTTTGTTGAGACTATCCTGCTTTGGTTTGTAGTGGAATTGTTTGGAGAGATCTTCAGTTTCATTCTGTTAACAAAATTTTGTTCAGATGTAATTCTGATTTAGTGGGTACTGTTAATGCCATTAACTCTCATACTAATTTATTTCTACATTCATTGCTTGCAAGTTTTTCACTAAACCTAATAATAATAGAAGTTTTAATAATAACAATAATCTCCAAAATAACAAAATTCTACCGAAAAGGAGGAATTTTTATGTAATTGTTTTGCAGATGATGAAGATGATGATGTTATTCTTGCATCTAGTAGTAATGAAGTTGTGGAATCTCATCCTACTATTACACATCCAAAAGCAAAATTGTTGATGTTTTGTGAAAATCGACGACCTCCTTATTGGGGGACATGGACCAAAAAGAGCAAAAGTATTAGACCAACCTGTCCGTTTAGGAAAGATGAGGTAAGATAAAGCCAAAGAGTCTAAATAGAATTGAAGCATGTAATTTTTTTGTATTCAGGGATTTTAATGTAAAATGATTTTTTACCATATATTTATTTTTTTTAAATTCATTCATGTTACATAATGGTGGTGCATAAAACATCACATCCCTGCATTCCGCTGGGGGCAAAGCCCTGTGCACAAGGCATGAATTAATGCAATTTTAACAAGGATGACAGTATCAAAATTTAAACACAAAAACACAAAAATTACAAAATTTTAAAACAATGCAAAATATAAAAAAGTTAAAAATTACTATAAAAAAGTACATACTGACACATGTCAGAGTGGAGAAAGAAAAGCCTTGCTATCTCATCATAGACTTAACATCCTCTTTGCTCAAGTTTGCCAACTAAGTAGCTTTCTATTAGACTTATTGTTCATATCTGAACACTTTAAGATTTTCATTAACACATTTGATCCTGAGGGAGAGGTTACACGGATAACTCCTTTGACCTGGGCTATACAGCTATTATTCAAAATGTAAAGCAAAAACTATCATACATATCAGTATGGAATTGATAACATCTTATAAGTATTGTCTTTCCTCTAGGTCTGTATGTATTTTATGATCATTTGATTATAAGATAGTAGTGAGAATGGAAGTCAAAGAAACATATGTTGTCAATTTTGTATTTTATAGTAATGGTGTTACAACATATGGGGGGAATTCAGTGAACTTCATATGATGATTCCATTGCATATCTATTTATTTCTGTCTTTAATTTTCGAAATATACTGTGGTCAAAAAATGATGAAAAATACTAGTCTGGTTCAGTTGAGTCTTCATTTACAGGAAAATTATATTCCAGTTTTTGTCAAACATTAGTAATTCAAATTGTTTATCAATTTCACAGCATTCTAAAGGAAATAAAACTATTGAATATGAGGAAATTCATCAATCCAATCATTTGCATCATTATCACTCTCCTTGATATATTTTTCATTGCTCAAACTAGACAACAGTCTGGGAGTAAAATTGTCATCATCTGAAGAATCCATTTCTGTTCCATGATACAAAAAAATCTTCTATTTCTAATGTTGATATTCATTTAGACATTTTGCAGGTAGGAATAGCTGTATATCAGCAATTTTTCTAAATAAAATTTCCCAATGGAAGTTAGACTATTTTCTCAGAAAATTGTCCCAATAATTGATTTTGGGATAGTAATTATGGATTTAATCGCCCATTCGTGGGCACCATCCCAGGGGATAATCCCATATGTAACCAAGAACTAAAAGAAAGCATAATAAATCATAAGTATTTGCTTGTTTGCTATTTAATGCATTTGATAATTTATATAAAAACAAAATGCAGACAAGCAATAAAAGCAAACTCTATTCAAGCAAAATGTTGAACAATTGAAAATTGGCATATGAACCCTCAAAAATTAGTTTTATTTCAAACTTATATGGTCTCAAGTTCAGTCACATCAATAGGGAATATCCGTTTTTGAGAAAATCCTTTGAACATTAGAGTGTTGTCAGCCTGACAGACACACTTTTTTGAAAAAATCCACAATTTTTGATTTTAAGGATCCTCAAAATTTGTATTTCTGTGAATGTACAAGCTCTACTGCCAATGTACAGTTTCGTTATTTATGTAACAAGTATACACATTTCTGGAAAATTAGAAACGAACACCATGAATTTGTGGACTCAGCAGGGAAATTTTATTGACACACTCTCTAGGAAGTATACAACAAACTATCTTACAAAGCACACTATATGAGGGTTGCCTTTTATATTTCAGGATTAGAGAACAAAAACAAATATTAAACATCGGAAATCACTTTATTGTTTTTCAAAATATTCCCCATGAAGATCTATATGCTTTTGCATGTGTTTGAACCAATTGTCGAAGCACTTTTGCCACCCTGATTGTGATATCTCCAAAACATGCATTCTGAAAGCAGCAACTGCTTCTTCAGGTGTTGATAAACGTTGACCTCTCATTTTGTTTTTTACGTATGGGAATAAAAAGAAGTCATTCGGTGCCAAGTCAGGACTATACGGTGAATGACTCATCAAATCAATGTTTTGGATGCTCAAAAATGCTGTTGTTTGAGCCGATGTGTGAGAGCTCGCATTGTCGTGGTAAAGAGTGATCCATCTTCGGCAGTTGGTTTTCCTGATTTCTTGGAAGACAGCTGGCAAACAAATCGTTTTGTACCACTCGTTACCACACTGTACTGTTCTGCGTTGTTCTAGTGGTACGGTTGCGACATGTCCAGTTTTCCGAAAAAACAGGCAACCATCTGTTTGGAAGTGCTTCATGCGCAAACAAATTGTTGGATTTTGCTCATCTTGAAACACTCATACAGTCGACTGCACTTTACTTACGGGCTCATACGTGTAAATCCACGATTCATCACTTGTCATGATGTTATAGACGTGTTTCAAAGCACCGCGATCGCATTTTTTGAGCATTTCTTTCGCCATTTTTTGAGCGATTGACAAATTGTGTGGGATCCAACGTGAACAAATTTTTTTGACAGTCATGCAATATTGGATGTATGCTGGCCTAAGGTTGTCTCAATCTCACGATAGGTCACATGATGATCTTGCAATATTAGTTCACGCACAACATCAATGGTTTTCGGAACGACTGACTTTCGCGAAATTTGTCTTGGAGTAAACTACAACCACGATTGAATTCATCGATAAACACTGGTCCTTGATGGAGCTTCATCACCAAAAATTGAATTACGTTCATCCATGCACTGTTGCTGAGTTAATCTGTGTCGAAAGTTGTTAAAAATAATCACACGAAAATGTTCACGATTTAATTCCATTTTTGGGCAAAGATGAATCTTTTAAGTTACTGTAAACAATACAAATAGCGCTTGTATGTCAAAACGTTCTGAGTACGTACAACCTCAAAACATCCAACTTTACGATAGAGCTGTCAGTTGCCAGGTTGCAACACCATGGTTGCCAAATCCCGAAACATAAAAGACAACCTTCGTACACATATGAGTACAGTCGACAGGGAATGTGAAATGGCAGAGCAAGTGCAGAGTATACCCTCAATTTGCAGCAATGCAAGCTGCAATTGTTCCATGAAGATGGTCGTAGAGGTGATGAATGTAGCCTTACGGAATGGCCTGCCATGCAAATTTTCACCTGGTGGTCTCATAGAGTGTGCAATATGACTCGTCCCAAACATACCCAATGGAGGATTGTACTGGCCAGTGTACTAGACGCACATCTAGGAGAGCATGTTGGAAGGCATGAGCTGCATGTGATCATGCATTTTCATGCTTGGAAAAGACATTGCCTTGTTGTATGAAGGGTAGCAAATGGATTGAATGGTGTGTCCGATGTACCGTACACTGTTCAGTGTTTCCTCTACGATCACCAGAGGCGAATGGCCGTTGTAAGATATGTCTCTTCACACCATGCCCCATGTTGTCTCTGTCATATAGCATGGTCAGCTCACCTACATGACGCCACACACACATACGATCGTCATTGACACCAAGGCAGAATCGACTCCAAAGGCAACAAGTTGTTATTTGTCCTTCCATATGCACCTATCATGACATCACTGGGGGCAGGCTGCACGATGTTGGGGTGTGAGTGAAAGACGCCCTAACAGCAAGCATGGTCATATCAAATAGATAATTGCGGATGATCCTCGCTGATACCCCTGGAGCAACACTGGCCGTAACTTTTGTGAAGTTGTGGAGTATCCTGATACAGCACTTCGTAATACGCTGTGATATTGGTGTGCGTTTCAGCATTGCCTCGGGCCCAAAATTGTCTAGCTTTGGTGTTGAGTAAGAATACATATTTTGTGGGTTCTTGACACTGCAAAATCGATTGATGGCAAAATGTCTGACTTTTTGGCAGTGGTCAATGCCAGCGCTTAGCCAATTCATCTGATTTTCAAGTGATATTTCCCGTTCGAGCGAGCTTACATTGCAGCTCCTTGAATTTGAACTGATGTTTTGATTTTGGAGTGTTCTTTACAAGAAACCCTTGAGACATTTTCGAAATTTCCGAAAAAAGCACTAAATTATTTGATTAAATTTTGACCTTGATTAGCATAGGTCTCATGTTAATTGAAAGCTAATTTGTAACAGTTGCAAAAGTTCAAAAAATTTTTTTGAGTCTTTATACAATTACTATTAAGAACATTAAAAAAAGTGTTCATCAAAAACAACTCTTGAAATGCAACCCTGAAAACTGTCTTTAAAGACCTCACAGTATTATAGGACAATAAATTTATGTATAATCTTTTAAATACTAAAATTGATTGTCCAGAATTAGGAAATTTATTGGTTCACTACAATAATCCATGTAATACAAGAAGGAATGATTATTTAAAGAAATCGTTTTGGAAAACACAAAATTACTATTGTTCATCAATACCTCATTTAACAATTTATTGCAATGAATATTTGAGCTACGAACAATTAGGTATGAGTGAGGCAAGTTTTGTAAGATGTTTGAAACAAGAATATTGGATTTTATCCAGTAGAATGATTTATTACTAATTTGTAACTTCATTAGTTGCACTTTGTTATTGTTAATGTTATTAATTTCAATATTTCTTACTGCGTTAACTTCTGAATGTACGTCAACAATGTGTTATATAATTTCATTTGGACATATAAGCCTGTTGCGAAAATAAATAAACTCTTCAAATAAGGTCACTTTCAATTTTTTGAAAAAATGAGTATTTTGTTTGTAATTTGTACCAAACAAGCAATTTTTAAAATTTAAACATTTTTGTTTTAGAAACAGCCCCATATTTTGTCTTTAAATTTTATCCTTGTATGTAGCAAAGAATTGTTATGATAATGGTGTATACTCTTGTGTTTTCGAAAATTGGGGGCAGGGAATTGGAATTGTAAATTTCGCATTTCTTTGAAGAATCAAAATGTGATACGTGAAATTGCAACAGGAAATTCTTAGAATTTTTGTGATTGTTGCCAGTCGTGTTAAAAGTAGGATGTTGAAAACTTTCTTATGAAAGGAAATTGATGTATGGAAAAGAAATGAGTGAATTTTTTTATGTGGATACCAGCCATATTGCCTAAACTGACCTTAAGAAATTTGCTAGAAGTAGAGATTTCTGTGTATATTTCCTTTTCCCAAAAATTAAATTATATAAGCCATTAAACTTTTCCAGGGATTTTTTGATTACGAAGTGGATTCAGATGATGAATGGGAAGAAGAAGAACCAGGTGAATCTCTTCATGGTTCAGATGATGAAAAAGAGTCTGAAGACGAATATGAAGTTGATAATGAGTTTTTTGTTCCTCATGGATACTTAAGTGATGAGGAGAATTGTGAAGAGGAGGAAGTTATGGTACTACAATAATAAATTCTTATGATAATGTTTTTAACAAAAATGGTGCATTTATTTTAATTTTAAAAAATTTAATCATTTGCTTAAGACAAAATTTATTTCAAGGTAGGATGAATGTAATTTAGAACATTTATTATTTTAGAACCCTGAAACTATGAAGGCTAAACTGAAGTTTTTGGAAATGGAATTTGAAGAAGAAATGAAACACAAGACTGAACGAATCAAACCCAGACTTTTTGGATGCTTTTGGGCAAGTCAAAAGTCTGATGAAGGTAAGGGAGTAAAAAGAATAGGTTATATTTTATTATTTGTGAATTAGGGGATTAACTGGTGGCAGTTTTGGTGGTATTACAGTGTTTCGAACTGTTATGCCCAAGTTTGTGGGTTCAAACCCAATCAAAGCCGTAGATAAGGGTGAAAACATTCTTCCTGTGAACGGGTAGTAAAGCCGCGTGTCCCATATTGCAGATTTACGGCATGTTAAAGATTCTCATGCCTAACAGAAACTTCATAGCTAAATTCAAATTACTTTTGTCACCTGAATGATACCTTATTTTTATCTGGTATATGGTAAAAGGGGTGTAGTGATATTCGCATGGTCAGATGAAATAGAAGGCCTGATAGCCTGAGTTACTTTGTAAAATGTGGTCATTGAATTGAAAATGTGGTCATTGAATTGAATTAAAAAGTTTAATAGTAATATTTGTTCTATCCAACAAAAATTTCTGAATTGTGAATGTACATTGTACCTTAAGCCTGTTGAATTGTAAGACTCAATATTCAATATATATATATACATATATACAAAAATAAATACACGTATCAATTAGACCCATTCCCTCATGTACTTTCGTGAAAACTGCGTAGCAATAACTTCAACTGTTCAAAAGTTATAGGAGGTGCTAAGTTACATTACTCACCCTGTATGTATGTATATATATATATATATATATATATATATATATATATATATATATATATATATATATTGTAACTTAGCACCTCCTATAACTTTTGAACAGTTGAAGTTATTGCTACGCAGTTTTCACGAAAGTGCATGAGGGAATGGGTCTAATTGATACGTGTATTTATTTTTATTTTATCACTTGTATTTTACGAGATAGTTGAGGTAACTTTGGTATTTCAAATGAAACTATAAATTTTTTCAGTCTATTATGATGAGCGCAATGAGACAAATCCAATGATATACATATTGAATGTAACAGTCTGCCACACAGATATTAAGAACTCCAAAGCCAAAATAGAAAGAACCCTAATTTAATCTTCTGTGGGTCATCAGAAGATTAAATTGGGGTTCTTTTTATTTTGTCTTTTCTTCAGAATTCCACAATATTATTGTAATAATATGACCATACTATGTTAGCATTTTCCTGCAGGCTTGTAATATAGCTAATATTCAGTTTGAAAGATACATCATGGTTATACGTGGATAATTTTTCATGGGTTAAATATTTCGTATAAAAATGTATTTTTGATGCATATTTCAAACATTTTATGTATTTGATTGTGTTTTTGTTGAATTAATAGAAATGTCTTAAGAGTTTGAAGTCCTGACAGTAGTTTTAAGATCTTAAGAAGGCTAAATTGACTTGTCGTTAAAGGTCCAAAAATTTTGCAGTTGGTGCAAGAGTTCTTGCATTGTTGAGTTCCTACCGGGCTGTGTCCCAAGAGAATCCAATTGTATTGAGTGGACCATCTACTCCAGAAGTTGGCAGTCCTGTGCATGAAAGCCAGGGAACATGTCCTTCTACAGGCTCAAAGAAGAGGAAGAAGAAATTTCCTGAAGCATGTGAGTATTTGTGTTATATTCTTTATACTTTAATTATTTAATAGATTTCTAGTGAATGCAATTGACGATATTAAAAAGTATATTCAGTAAAATTCTTAATATGTGGATCAGAATGCTGATTTATGTAAAAATTAAACTACTTTCTTTGATTATCTTCCAGTCACTATTTAGATTTAAAATTATTGTTACTAACTATAGTTAATGTTTTGCTGACAAATTTGAGATCTAAATTTCATTGAATGACATTAAAACCATTCAGTGAATTTCATTTGGAACTTAGCCTGTTCTGACAGCTTTCCTTTCATATTTAAACATTTTTCATTTCAGTAGTGTGTTCAATGTTACTGAATTGTTTCTGAAATGTTTGATTTATTTTCTTTGTTTTAAATAAAATAACTTCTTCTTGTAAATGTCCGACTAATCAATATACTTACGGTGTGTTAATGATACATTGGTTGATCAACTGTCTAGTTAAAACCCGAATTGTTCGGAAAATTTATTCTATCCGAAAAGAGGGGTTTGTGGTATTTCATCAGTCTTTCTCAATAAAAGATTTGCAATATTTATTGAAACAGTCGAGTAATCTTTTTAAATTTGTGACATGACACTATCATTTAATACATACCCATTCATTTGTTCCTTATTGGAAAATGTTCCCCCAAAATGCAACCTTTAATGTTATACTCATTTAGTTTTATGTTGAAAAATTGAAATTACTTTTGATTCCAGCTTTCTGATTAGTTCCTACTTTAATTTCTATAGAATGCATTAAATGATTTTAGCATGCCTTTGTTCATTAAATTTGTTCAATTTGATAAGTCCTTTTTTAAAAACTTTTAATGTTACTTGTACGAGTTTCTTGATTAAAAGTTTTTAATTTTTATGAAACTTACATTCCGAAGACCCAAAATTTGTGATGATGGCGTCTAGTTAGAATGTCAGTCCTGTGAAATCTCTGGAGCACTCCAGGAATCTTCTTTCTGTGAATGCAACGTATGAGGGTGAATTTAAATGACTGCCTACCCAAACACAATTACTAAATCACATATTTTACTATTAACAAGAACAAAAACTATGAAAATACTAAAAATCTAAATTACTACACCTAATGATGCTTCTATCAAACTATTTACAGAAAATATGAATGCCGTGGATGGACACTTCTATAGCAACTTGTATTCGCGTTAATTATGCGTCGAATTCCCAAGTTGTAACATTCAATAAAGTTTATCTGTTGATTAGAATAAAACAATTTAAGAAATGAAATTTCTCTTTATACTACAAGCAAAGTAGTCTCACTAATCAAATATCACTGCATACAGAATCTGAATTATTTAACATCATCTTAATGTCAACAACCACAGACCCTTACATCACCCACGTGAAATCTAACTTCAATTTGACACACATTGCCTATCATCTCTGCTGATGTTCAGTGTTCTAATAATTTGAAATACAAGTATTTTATTTGTATTATGTTGTATTAGTATTTTATTTGTATTATTATTAATAGTTATAGTGAGGTATGTGGATGCGATCTTCATTGAAAGTGGAGGCAAACATAGTCGGAATTTGCTAATCTCTGGAAATGTCAGTGGGGAGGATCAGGGATTTTTTTAGACTTCTTGGGAAACCTTATTTTTAAAGTGATTGAATTAAGAACTGACTGAAGATAATTGAGGTTGGCAGTGGGAAATGCCTGTTTGAAAAAATATTTGCTGAGAAAATTGTTTTGGAAGTGATGATTGTTGAATAATGTATTTGATTCTTTGTACTCAGGTTTACCTGAATATTTATCACCTCAAAGATCTGTAAATCAGACTATGAACTATCGACATGAACAGGGCAAACTTTCTTTCGTGAACCCTGTATTTTTAAGGCAGCCTCATGCTTAGTCAATCACAAGGCAGCATAGTGTGGCAAATGAGATTAATTAAGAGCAGCCCATAGATAGATAGGGAAATTTTCAGATTTTGCAGCAGAATTGCTAATATTTTCTTTTCCCTCAGTAGTTTTCTAATTATTGGCCTTCATTGATATTTTTGGTTCAGAAGATTGTGCAATTCTTCAAACACTTTGGTCATTACAAAATAAATAATAATAATATATATAAAAAAAAAAGTTTTCAATGGAATTCAGTTCCAAGCTCAGTCAATGAAATTCACCAAACACTTAATTTTTTAGATTGATTCTTGTTCCCATTTCCTTTCTTCATTTGAGAGAAAAAAGGAAATGGAGTTCTTCGTTGAACTTGTAAAAGTCTTTTGAAATACTTGAAAAAGTGCAACAAATGTATGCGGATGTATGCGGTCATATCATATCTGCTTTAAATTGCACACCTGTCCAAAAGGCCACAAGTACTGCTGTTAACCTGTCTGCATGTAGAGTCCATTCTCTCTCTGACTGTTCCTTAAAAATGTTAGAAATGTTTTCAATTTATTCAAATGAATTTCAGTGCCTTGAAAAATTAATGTTGACATGTCTGAAAAACTGAGAAAAGTCTGGGAAATTTGTACTTAAATTTTCCCGACCATCCAATTGTGTTAATCTGCATGAACAAACTTAAATTACATTGTTATGGGCACTAACTGTACTTCTGAACCTCTTAACACAGGATGTCATTTTGAGAGAACATGTGTCTTTCATATACATGTATAGAGCTTTTCTATGTTGATGTTGTATGTATCTACAGTGGGATGCCATGTGGAATGAGAGGCCTTAGGTTGCCCTTATCTACCCTCTCCCATGGTGCTGCACAAGCACTGTGCCCATCCTCTGCATTGAAATTCTTCCACACCTGATCTAGATTCCTCAATGAAGGGTTAACTATGAAATGTTTTTGATCTTTCTGTTGAAAGTTTATTACATATTTATATATGCTTTATTATTTCAGTTGTTCCTGCATTGATTAAGCTTGTCCATGGAAATATAAATGGACGAGGGTTTTTAGTGAAAGAGATTTCTTCGTATATGAGAAAGGAATTAGAAACTGCAAGACTAGAAAAAGAAAAAGATAATGATGATCAAATTCAGACAGATACTGTTGTCTCTAAACTTAAAATATCTGAGAAGATTAAAGAAATTGCATCATGGATTGCTTGTCCTGATGAAGGTCCATTTTTAAACAGAATGTGCTGGTATGTGACTTCAGAAATAAGAGTAGCCTATGGATTGGAAGACTTGGTCATTCCTAATAAAGTCTGGAATTATATTAATGTGCCAAAGAGGGAGCTGGAGTTATCTAATACTATTCCCTCACCTGTTGTCAGTGAGGCTAATTTCAAACCCAAATCCCTGCCTTTAATAACTAAATTTACGAGGAAATTGTCTCCAGAGGAACGCCAGAGACAATTAGCATTATCTAACTCGAGTAGCGAAACTGAAATAGACATTGTAGATGAAGTTAAAGTTGTTTCTACTTCTGAAGATAATGAAAAAATATCTGGAGGAGATAAGTCTAATAAAGAAAATTCTTCTGTGAATGATGGTAAAATTATTGCTGTTAATGTTACTTCTGGAAAAACTGATTTAGATACTCCAAATAGTGGACTGAAAAAAATGGATAGTTCTGGAATTCGTGGAAAATTGTTACAGTTTAAATCAAAAGGTGCAAGTATTATTCCTCATTTGGAGCAACGAAAGAGAGTTCCAATTTTAAAGTCAGTACCATTGGGTCAAGCGTTTTCACCATCCACCTCAAATTCTTCGAGTACAGGTGCTCAAGAAAAGCAGACAAATGGTAAAAATGATATTAAAGAGACTTCTGAAGATGTTGATTGTATAGTAATTGATTAAAACTGTTATTTCTGTCTATACAATGTACATATAAATGAGCGTTGTTAGTGTTATATATTTGTGAACTCTTGAAGTTTGCTAGTAGATGGTTGTTTTAAAAAAAAAATTGTGTAAATGATATCCGTGTTTTATGAAATACGCTACTTCTATTTACTACTCTTTTGAAGGTAGTAATTAGTTTTAAATTAATAGATATTCATTAATTTTTGTGAAGGTTAGTGTGTAAAAAAGAGGAATAGTGTTTTTTGATTAACTTTTGAAAGATATGTTCAGCATTTATTTTGCCACAATTTGAACATTGTTTTTATACTCTAGATGAATTACTCTGTATTTACAGATTATGAATTTTTATTTCTCAAATATCAATATAATCAATTTCTTTTGATAAGTTATTTAATTTTCCTTACCCCCTTTTAAAAAAGCCTTGAAGTTTTAAAATGAAAATCCTTGTCTTTTTTTAATGTAAATAAATAATTAATGATTTCATTAATTCATTGTAGTTTATTCATTACACATATCATTCATGAGATTGCAGAATATGTGCAGTCTGATTAATATTTCAAAGGGATTATCAATTGGTAGTGGGGCAATGGAGTGTTTGCCACTTACTTCCATGACAAGTATATGGTTGTGGCTCCACAGGCCGAAGACACGCCAGTTCTGACAAATGGGTTGCTCATTAAGATCTCTAGTATCTATCTGTATTATTTGACATAAATAAAATAAGTCACAGCATAAAAGTACACAATGGGGATTATATGTGTGAAATTCATAATTTTAAAATTAACAATAAAATAAACAAAAAACAACCTTAACATAAGTCAAGAGTAACAAAAGTAGTAGCGGCAACAAAAAATTGAACATTCTCTAAAGAAACAACAAAACATAATGAAATCTCTAACCAATCTTCAGATAACACACCAGAAGGATAAATTTCATTAATTTATTTCATTCATTTCAATAAACTTCAACAGAGTGATGCAGAGGGTGATTTCCAAAGATCACTGACTTGTGCAATAGAGCAGTCATATTTTTCAATCCCTGACAATTGTGTTGTCATCTTCAGAGATTGAAGCGTGTGATTGGATTGCAGAGGCTCTTCTTCATAATTTGGTATTGTACCTTGGAAATTTTAATCTGATTATAAATATCATTCTTGGTATAAGCTGGTTCAAAAACTAGGCAGTAAGTATATTTATTGCAGAATTAGTGTTGTTATTTGTATTATAAATATTTTCAATATCAACCCATGTATTAATTGATTATGTGAAGTTGAAGGGCATGACTTTTGTCACTTCACTTAACACAAAGATGAGCTTTTCATTTTGTTGGTAAAATTGACAATCATGGTGTTTATTTAATCAAAATGTAATTATTCTCAATACAGTTTGATAGGCTTGTAGTGTTATTTACAAACCTCGGTGCGAAGTAGAATGTCATTGGCTTTCTCAATTTCATGTGAAGATGGGATAGGTAGTTAAACATTTGGCTGTTTGGAAAACTTACAGACATTTGTGAAGTTAAGGACCAAAATTCCATTAAGGTCTTCAGATTGAACATACAATGCCAATATTTCATGTTCACTGAAAAAATGCTTTAATTTGCTATTGTAAATACAGGAGTAAATAGAAAATTAACATTACTCTCCAAAGTGTGACATGCTTCTTTGAAGCGAGTCAATATCGGATAATATCCTGATCAATTTGCCATCATTTAGCTCAGGGAAGATTTTCAGGGTAAAAGTTTTTAATCTCTGATAAATACAGTGGCATTGTCTTATAGCTTTATATTTGTAGTATCTATTAAACCTAAATAAATAAAATAATAAAGGGAAAAAAATAGAAGCAAGAAAGACTGTTTTAACTTGCTGTAAATTAATTATTTTACTTCTAAAAAGGAGCTCAGAAGTAGGAAGCGTAAGGAGAAATACAATTTGTAACAAAGCAAAAGAAGACAGTTTCAGAACATAATTTCTTAATAAGATTTTCCACTATGCTGGAAAAAGTCAGATTAATTCAGTTGAACAAAATGTGTTCATGTTGGGTAAACTTTAAAAGATTTGTCAATCTTTCAATATTTATTTATTAGTCGGTTTAGTTATAAATTGAAGTTTTTGGATATTTGACAAATGAATTTGTGTGCTGAACAAATAGTATTATGTTACAAAGTTGTTACCCTTTAGTATAGAGATCTTCAAAAATGTCATAAATGTTTAGTTTTCAAGTAGTTCAGGTGAGCAAAGATAAGGGCCCTTCAATACTTTGTTTGAAGATGAATCTTACTCTCAAAAAATAATGACTTGCTATATGTTTAAAGTAAAAAATGTCACTTAATTTGCATACATTTAGCACTGGAGTCATTTTCATGAATGCACATCTTATATGATTCTCTGCAGATGCTGGCTATCCAAAATATCTTATGCAGGGGTTTTAAATAAAAATATGGAAATGCCTAAATATTTGCGCATTTAATTAGTGTCAACATCCCAAGGCATCTTGATTTCTAGGTGAAACTGAAAAGTGTGCCTTTTTGGTGAGTATAAGAAATATTTTTAGTTTTTTATGCAATTTCATCGCGGAACTGGTGTATAAAGAATTCGAATCTTGATTGCTTGAAACCAATTTATGTTAAGTTTCAGCACATGATTTATTCTACTTACAGAATAGAATGATATGATGAATGAAAAGTCATTATAAGTTTTGAGAAAAAAAAAAATAGTATCAAAGATTACCATTTTTAATCACTTTATTTTGTTGTTTTAAACCAAAATAGAGAACGATAGCTGCCCAACAAAAATCAGTTTTTTGCAAAAATCTCGTGTTCTACGGTTCAGAGGTAAATTGAGGAGATTACAAGAGAGTAAGTTTATGTAATTATCTACAAAATGGTTTTATTCATTTTTAATGTACGACAAACAGTTGTAAGGTAAACAAGTGGTGAGGTTTTCCGTAAAAGGCTTATGCTCTATTCCGTCTGGCTGTATTAGTTTCCGCACCACACCATTGAGGTAGGATACAAGGCGCTTTCCATTTATTCTTTTATGATGTCCCTAATAGATGTAGTCGATATGGAGTTATACAATAAAAAAATGTTTCATTCTTGTCTTCACGAATTCTATGTATTATTTGTATTTCATTGTCAGGTTGCATCTCCATTATCAACTTCACTTATATTTGTTACTGAAAGCTCAATAGAATTAATATCATCGTCAGTTGGAAAGTTATTGAAAGAATCAACAGCAGAAGCTTCAGATATTATATTAAAACATGATTGTTCTTGATGGTGGCTGCATATAGTGGAGCAAGATAAACCATTTTTTGTGCCTTCACAATTTGCACCGCATCCTTTTGTACAATTACAAAAATAATTTTAAGAATACTATCTGGTGCAGGTGGTAACAATGTTATAATGAGCTCCAAAAAATGGTTATGGAAGATCCAACTCAACTTGTGGATCCGTGTCTATTCCCAGCCATGTTTGAGTTTATAGCTCGACCACTTAGAAAAAAAAAATCTGGACTGCTCATGCGCGAAAAGAGGTGTAGGGGAGTTCCCTTTTTCAGAGGCTCAACTTCACCACCTTGAGGAGCTGCCGCCGCCGTGGCCTGGGCTGGCGGGGAGACAGCCTGGCCTTGAACGTCCCGAATCCTAGAGAGTTGAAGCATGAGAACTAAGTTGCAAGAGCGAATCAGTTCCTGTTGCAGGCGGTCCTTGAGTTAAAATGAGCTGCCCTTCTGGAGCAGTGGGGGATGGCTTAGCCAAGATGCTTTCTCGACTTATGAATTCTTCATAAGAGAAAGTTATGTAATCGTGCGCCAGAAAACGCCGAAACTTCGCCAAAAAAAAACATATTGCCGGGTTCTGATAACGAAAAAAGAGGAAAATGCTAAATTTAGAAAAAATCCTGTAACTCGCGGTGTAGCCAGAATCCATGTTTTGTTGGTTCTTGATACCGGAAAATTGATTGACGGCAAAACGTACTGTGGTCAACGCTAGCTGCTAAAGCGTTCAGCCGATTTTCTCCAAACTTGATATTCCCCAATCGATCTGGCTGATGTCGCGGGACATGGAATTTGAAAACGATATTTTAATTTTGGGGGGGATTTGCATGAAGCCCCTCGGACATTTTGAAAAAAAAACCCTCCAAATATTTTGATTAAATTTTGTTCTTCAATAGTGCGAAAGACGTTTCAGAGAATGGTGCAGGTCTTACATTCAGTGATATCCCCAATTTTTCAAAAATTGCAAAATAATATTTAAAAGTACAAAATTAAAGATGAGATTTTTGGCTCAAAGACTAGTATGAAATTACCTCTTTAGAAAATTTCATGTACAGTTTTTTTTAAGAAACGGGTAGTTTTTATGTAACGTAGGCTTGAAATTTACAAAAAAATATTTGAACAACCGCTCCAAATATGTTCTTTAAATTTTCTCTACATATGTAATAAGGGCCGGTAAGAAATATGGTACTAGTCCCATTTTTGGGTGTTATTTTTCCTTTATAACAAAAACATTTCAAAACTACAAATTGGAAGATAGAAATTTTTGCGTCAGACATTTTTTTTTACAAAATTAGCTATTTAAATTAATACATTTAAAAAATCCAGGGGTGCTATAGAATGGCACAGACTTTCTCACATTAGTTTTCTATTCTCTCTACTCTTCACTAGTTTTTCCGACAGGCGTTATTGTCTTCTCGGCTGTTTTCTTTTGTCTCCGAAATGCCAGAAGTGAAACCACCATACATTCATTATTAATATAGCGGGGGCGGATCCAGAGACGAGTTTCGGAGGAAGGGAAATTTGTGTATGTATGTACATATATACAAATATAATATAAATTATAAACAAGGTAAATTATTTATCATAAAATGCTTTTAACACAATTGAAATATTAGGTTTTGTATTTAATGAAGACTTTGTGGCTTAAAATTACACTGGAGGTGTTACAGAATGGCACAGACTTTCTCGTCCTAGAAAGTTGCCTAATTTCTTTGGCCTGTGCTAGCTTTTGGATCGTGCGCGCCATCCTCTTTCCGACTGCCATCTATCGCCGCCCAAACACTTTTTTGCTCAATTTTTCGGTTTCGTAATGGCAGAAACGAAAAATGACTTTAAGAATATACAAAATGTGATTTAAAATTTGGAGCCGTTTTTACGAAAATGTTTAAGCGTTACTATAAATTTGAAGCTCCTTTTCACAGCAATCTTTGAAGTTTTCGGAATACTTTATTGGAAGTCATGTGAAGCGCTTCCTTTCACAAATGCAGTAGTATATACAAATTGCTGAAAATGTGCATATTAATGGCGTGATTGATATTTCAAAAATAATTACACAGTCTAATTTTGGAATAAACAAAAGAATACCGCAAAATTAATTTTGTTATCT